CACCAGTTTGCGCTTGACCTCACTATACAGTCAGTAAAGTACTATTTAATTAAAACTATTGGATTTTCACACAAATTTCCTTCCAAATTTTGTCTACCACCCACTAGCTGTGTCACTCTCTATCAAAAGGTGCTACCAAGCTGGGAGGGTACTGTCTGTGAGACACTTGAAGCCAGCCACAGCATATTTCTGAGCTGTGACAAGCCATTGGACTGTTCAACACAATTGAAGAAGAGCGCTAACTACCAATTCGGTTACGTTAAGTCACAGACGCCCGCATTGGCCAACATCACACTGGGTGATGGAGAGGGAGGTCAATCCTCACCCAGAAATAGTTATTACATATATCAATCAGGCCCAGTCGTGAATGTGGAATCATAGTGGTTGAGTAATTGCACTTGCCACTTTTTGCACTTTGTTTTCTACTCCCCTAATAGCTCTTTTGATGTGGCCTGTACGGTGGAGATCACCATCAGACAACGGGGACTTCCCATGTAAGACTGGGCATGTATCAGCACCCTAGAACTCTCTCTCTCTCTCTCTCTCTCTCTCTCTCTCTCTCTCTCTCGCTCTCTCTCTCCTTTCATTTGGCGCCTGTGTGCTCAGGCTCCAGACTTTGCCTTTTTGCTGCTATTTCTCCTACCAGCATCCAGCTTCGGTTCCTCTTTCTCTCTCTCTTTCTCCCCCCTCTGATGACGGACACCAGATATCCTTTGCAGCGTCAGCCTGCCCAGATCCCGCTTGCCTCTAGGCGGATGTCAGTAGAAAGGCAGTGAGATAAGAGGCAGGAATGATGCCTCTGTGTTTCCTCGTCTCGCCAGATCCCCGGCACAGATAAGCCAGAGGTGCGGAGGTGCTGCCTTCACACCCACCCCAAGCTCCCAAGTGACACCAGAGGGGTGCCACTCCACTGTGATCACAGCATCCAGACCTGCAGGGGGTGTGCCAAGCTGCCCAGCTTTGGCTGGCTGTTTTAATGCAAGTTATTATTGTAATTATGTATGATTATTCTGGCAGTGAGGTGGAGATAGTTTCCACTGATGGCATAGGGGCAATGTAGGAGACTTGTTGGGACTCGTGGCAAAACAGAAATGCTACCCTCAGTATCACAGGACAGGGGGGATACAACAGCACAATCACGCATGCACACACGGTTGTTACAGTCACTACACCACACCTCGTCTATCTCACCATGGTTTTATATAAAGTTTGTATGAGAGCAAAAGCAGGTTGCTGATTCATGATTTGCATGCGATAGTGGGTGACACTACAGGGTTGTAAATCCACAATAAGGTTGATATGGTGTCACGGTTTGTCGCCCTATATAATTGGAGGGTTACCCCTCTGTTGACTTTTTTGAAATGCAGGAAAATATTTCTGTCTGTTCTTGTATACGAGTTATAGTTCCTTAAACCAGTACGCTTCAGCCTGTTTCAGCCATGACCCCACATCCTGACCCCTAGGACAGCCTTTTTCACATTATAACACTGCTGGATGCAACATTGTAAAGTCAATAATATTACAAATGTGGCTATCAAACATAAAAAACACGGCAATTCTGGCCAGTCACAACTACATAAACATCCGAAAGACCTTTTTCAGCTCAATAGTTCTAAACAAAGCAGCATACTTTTTATACATCTTTTAGCATAGTTATCTCATGTAGGTGAGAGGCTGACCTATATCGGTTATCAGAGCTCAATTTGTTTTGTCTAGTTATGACAATGGGGCTGGGATATTTTATGGAAAAGTTATTCCCAGAAATATGCAATAAAATGTATTTGTTTATTTTTTTGGCAACTGTTTGTGATTCCATGAAGGGTCATCTGAGATCCACAATTATAAAACTATAAACAACACACTGGCCTACAAATATCTCAGTAAAACATTATATATTTAAGACCACTATTTATAGTAGCAGTTTTAATGTGCTATGTGTATCGGAATATTCCGTGTCATTTAATGTAATTATTGAGTGAGCCAGTATGCATGCTTGTTCCAAATCTAGACTGCTGATTGGCTGTCTAAATCATTTTCAGCAAGCATGTTATTAATGCCAGTGCTTCTTGATCAGTCTGTAATCTATTGCGGTCAGTAAATGCACTTCCAACACCTCTCACTCTTTTCTGGTTTAAGTCACACCCACTTTCATTTTGTAACTTAAAAGAAGGGTTGTGGCATCAGCATTAAAATCAGTGTATTGTAATTTTCGACAGTGTTTAAACAACACCCAGCCTGAATTCTGACACATTTATCATGATTACAATAACACATTGTCATATTGCCTACCCCTAAAACCCCTAAATGCAGTACACCTGTCTGTGTGTGTAAGTCTGTCTGCACGTCTACAATAAGCCTTTCTCAATAAAGATGCCGTCTCCTTTTCTCACCCTGTTTTTTGGGGGGTTGACCCTGTGGGGCTAGACCAGGGCCAAGAGACACCCGCTGACTCTCTGCTCCCAAGCAACCTTTGACCTCCTGAGTGAGAGGGGGTGTGAGCAAGAGGCTGAGAGAGTTTATTATTTCCTGTGTTTCCCGCTTCAGCCAGTGTATATGTGTTTGAAGGGTGTTTTTGGACTTCACTGTAAAACTTTGGTTTCCCTAAAGTTCACTGAAAAACCTACACAGTAAAGTTTATTGCCTGAAACGAATTATCTTTTGGGTTTTCCAGGTCTGTGTGGGAGCTGAAAGCTTGTTATTAGGCCATATAATATTGCCAAAATCTTAACAGCCATTCTTTTTTTCTACAAAGGAAAAAACAAAATTGATTTGAACTTTGACTTACATCTCACACAATCAGTGGGCTTGCAGTTAATAGCAGCAACAGTTGTGTGCTGTGTTTGTCTGAATTGTCTGAATTTAAAGTATGTGTATATGAATGTTTTTATTATTGTACTTTATTACTATACTGTTATATTCTGTGGCAGATAAAATTGGCTGAAACACCGCAGATAAAGCACTGATAAGTTAAGATGATTTGGTTATGCGGAACAGATGATGTACTTTGTAAAAGTGCTCATGCTTGAGAGTTTATAATATCTACATGTTTTAAGTTGTTAAGTTATAAGCTTATTTCTAAGTGGCATTTTCGTTTCACCTCTTTTATCTTTGTTCAGATTTTTAAAGCATGGCTTTTTCTGCTACTTCATCAGCTCTTCTCTGTTAATACCACAACTTCTTAGTGCTGTTATTGCATTTATTTAATATGTAAAGGGCATGATCTAAAGAAAAAATATTTCTTTAGATTTTTCCCATGGATTACCTTAATGAACAAGAAGACATAAGAGTAGGAAAATAAGTCTCACATTAACTTTTTTTTTTTTTTACATTTTTAAATATGATATGTGCTTAGCAAACCTAACAGCAGTCTGAATAAATGTGAGCAGTGCATCCAACAATAGAGGAAGCATCATAAATTGATTTGCTGATACATTTCACTGTGGCCAAAGTGGACATGCATGTGGCAGCATATTTATGTGAGTTGCAGGGGCCATCACCAAAGCCTCTGAATCTATCGCCAATGAGACACTTGGTTTGAGTGGATTAATTAAAACTGTTGGTGTTTGTTTTGACCCTATAAAATTATATTGGCCAATGTTATTTTTTTAGCTCCTTCAAATTAGTATCAGTATCACTTACAAAATGTACCAACTGGCCTATCAATCTGGCCCTGCTGCTCGTATTCTTTATATCATCCTAGACTGGTTCAGCTCTAGTGATCCCACCTAGACGTCACCTCTTTAATTTGTTGCAGCCGAGCGGCCTGGTGTCGGGCTGGTGTGGGGCCAGCCCTGGAGCTCCATGGCATCCACAGTGTGAATGTCGCAGCTGGAAGGCTATTGTCCCTCGCCCCCTACCCAGGCCATGGTTACAGACCAGGAGCTGGTGATCAAAGGGCCTGCGGATTACCCCAGCCCTGAGAGAGAGGGGTTGTGCCGAAGGGGAGGAGAGGGGGAGGGTTCTAAAGGAAAGAGGAATGCTCCTAATTACGTTCCTTCCACTTCTTTTCTTGTCTCAGTTTGGGTTCTCTCTCTTGGCTTTCTACATGAGTGTGTTAGTGTGTGTGTGTGTGTGTGTGAGAGAGAGCACCCCGTGGCTGCTCTTCAGGCTACAGTGAACCTGTGAGGAAGCAGCACAGTGTGAGAGGAGAGCGATATTAAGAGTGGACAGCGGCAAGCCTCTGTAACAGCAGTCCAGAGAGAGCAAGTGACATGGACAGAAACGGAAAGAGGTTGTGGGTAGAGAGGGAGAGTGAGGGTGAGACGAAAGGGGTGGAGCAGAGAGGTAAGTGGGAATTCCAGTGTGTATATGAGGACACTCTCGCAGTGGGAAACAGAGTGGGGGTCAGCAGAAAGAGATTTCTCATCGGGGGAAGGCTAACCGAGATCAAGGAGTGTATAAGAGGATGTGTCATGAAGATTATTGCGAGCGTTGTTGGGGATTAAAGAGCGGAGCTTTAGGTGCTGCTATTCATGCGAGCTGAAGCTTTAGGCCAGGGTATGGGCCAGGATTGGGCCTTCCTGATACAACATGTAGGCACAGTCCTTCACTACATGTAGAGACAGAGTGAACTTATTATCTATGATTGTTTAGCAGTGGGTTGGACCAGCAGTATGCAGTCAGTGTTTCTAAGGCTGTTTCTAAGGTCAAAGGATATCAATATTAAAGGGTATTACTATAATACTTGATACCAAAGCAATATTTTGGCAAAGCATAAAAAGTTCAATTAACATCATTCAGTGTGTTCTAAAGGGAAGATAAACAGTGACGTGGAGTCCTGACATTCATCACACTGTGTTTCAGACTGACTTATAGCTAAACTCTTAGAACCTTAGATTCACTGAGGAATAGTGTGGCCCTGTTTACTTTGCATCACCATGATGTGATTGTATTGATCAGATCCTCATCCAGTTAACACCCATTTACACTTCCCCTTTTCAGATGTAAAGAACTACTGACACGCCTCAACTGACGACTGTTACTTTGTGTGTGTTTTGCAGGTGTGGTGTGTGTGTGGAGGGGGTGTGTGTGAGACCCCTGGTTAGTGGCCGGAGGTGAAGCTGCATCATGGACAACGGAGGCCTGAGAGGCCTGAAGGTTCTGTCCACTGTGCTGTGTGTCTGTCATACCCTGCTCTTCAACTGCCCTTGTGAGTGTACATGCCTCTACACACACGCGCGTGCTCCATGCATACGCATTACCACAAATTCTGTTTCTGCACAGGAAAAATATTTATGTTTATATACACACTCCTTTTATGAATTCACCCAGCCAACTTCAGACAGTGCAGGTTTTTTAAGGTGTATTTACACTTGTTTAAAAACGACATCAGATTTGCTGAGCCACATTTGTTGTGAAATACTCCATATACACATATACAAGACCTGTGGTGGAAATAGAGTCCTCTTATTCTGGTAACTATGTGGAAAATAACCACAGAATAACACGGTTAAACTGTGTGGAAGGTTTGTGTGGACTTTCCACAAATTTTACATGTATACATTGCTATTGTCGGAAGAAAACCTTGTATCTCCAAAATGATAATATTACAGGAGAAGGAAAAACCTACTTTACTTTTAATGTAAGTCAATGGAACCAGATTTTTTTCCAAGTCATTTTGGGTAATTTCTTTTGGTCCATTCATCATGAAATTTACATACAATGTGAAGAACAACAGGCATTTTCAAATTATGTCAAAAACTGAAAAACGACAAAAATGGAGATAGGACATGTATAATACATGTATAATAGTAATGATAGCAACAAAATAAAAATGAAGATAATAACAATAGTATTGTTTTTCATCCAGTAATTTTGAGTCATGTACACTGAAGTGGACACAGTAATTTTTTCACTGCTTGTGAATTGAACCTTAATCTTTGCCAAGTAAAAGAGCATAATAAAATTTTAGAAAAGCATACTAAAACCTGACGCTGTGGTTCACATTATGCTATAGTACACCTTAACATATAGTCAGCTTTTTGCACAGGCATGATATATGCCTCCCATAGCATGTTCAACCAGTGCAGCTCTACAGCCACATTTCTGGAACAATCTCATCTGTGTTAAGTACAATACATATGGTATTTATTTAGGATATTAAATTACCTAACATGTTTAAAAGTGAAATTATGTTCATGTCTGGGAATACTAGTGTGTTATGATTTGCATGAGATAAATCAATAAATGAACAATATGTCTTCACAAAGGCGTTAAATTAGTTTTTATGATCTCTTGAGACTGATACCACATTTAAGCATCATTGGGCACAACCCTAACACATACTCTGTGAGCAAACATACCAGTTAAATAACACCGTTTATAAAAAGGTTTGTATGCTGTGCAAAATGTAACTAAAAACAGAATGCAATGATGTGCATATCATTTCAATTCTGTATTTAATAGAAAATAGTACAAAGACAACATATCAAATGTTAAAACAGAAATTTTATTGTTTTTTGAAAAGTTGGGACGAGGCAACAAAAAAAGTTGTATAATGCTTAAAAAACACCTGATGGAACACTTCACAACTAATTAGCTTAATTGGCAACAGGTCAGTAACATGATTAGGTATAAAAAGATTTGTTCAGAAGTAAAGGTGGAGAGGTTCACTACTCTGTGAAAGCAGGCAAATAGTGCAACGATTCAAGAATAGCATTTCTCAACGTAACATAGCAAAGAACTTAGGGATTTCATCATCTGTGTTACTTATTATCATTAAAAGATTCAGAGAATCCATAGAAATCTCTGTATGCAAGGGACAAGGCTGAAAACCAATATTGGATGGCCATAATCTTCGGACCCTGGTGGCACTACATTAAAAACAGACACATTGCGTAGCAGAGAGAAACAATTTCTTAACAAATCTTTATCGCCATCAGGTTGCTTGCCATATTCAATTACATCACCCTGTTGCCCAGGCCTAGTTGAAATTGCTGATTTCTGTTGCACTCTTTTTTACACTTTTTTCTCTTCTCCTCTCTCCCTCCCTCTCTTTCTTTCTCTATCCTATAGTTGTATTATCTCTCTCATTCCGAACGCAGCCTGTCTCTGTGGTTCAGAAGCAGGGTGGAGCTGTTTTATTGCGCTGTGTGGCGCGTCCCGCTTCGGCCAGCCTCACCTGGCTCTTCCAGGGTCAGCCCCTGCAGACTGGGGCCTTGCCAGAAGTGGAGGTCCATCCAGGATCCCTCTCACTGTCCTCTCTCCAGCCCCAACACACAGGCTCATACCAGTGCGTGGCCCGTTTAGATACAGATGCCATCGCTAGCCGGCAGGCACGAGTGACCATTGCAAGTATGTGCATGAGATTTCACACTCTTAACGTGCTTCATCTGTCACTCACGCAGATAGATATGTTCACACATTTACATTACATATTAAGCTGTAATGTCACTTTATATGAACATTTCATGACATAAAAAAACCAATACAAATAGTGCATATTTACTTACATTGACAAACATAAAAGTTAAGAATTCTTCTTAACTTCCATAATGTTACCATTCCTGAGACACAGGGTTTTGTTTCAGCAGCAATGATATGCTGACATGGTCATTTACACACCCACACGCGCCCAAAAGCACACGCAGGCGCGCATATTTTCACTAGAGCTCAAAGAACAGTACCACATGAATGCGCTTCAAAGAGCAAGGAGGGAAATTGCCTAGCGAAACGGAAGGCTCTTTTCTCAAGCTGCTAACAGTCTACAAGAATAGCTGGCCATAGCCTCTCTCAGCTAAATGCTGATGAGGAAGGAAGCGGTGGCATTGTTTTTTTTTTTTTTTATTTGTTTTTATTTTTTAAGTCTGGCACTTTTCCATGCACCTCTTCAACAGTATCCTTAATGAGCCTTAGGGCTTCCTGTGCAGCAGCACAGGCTGATGCCGGGAGGGGAACACTATCAGGCGCAACGCTCGCCTGTGGTCCTGGAGACTGATGGTGCTGATAACGCTGTATTATTGTTCAGCACAAAGGACACATTCCCCGGCCTACCCTCAGTCCAATAAAAACAGTTCAGTGACAGACGTCTTTTGTGCTGGGTCCTGTAGTACTTGGTGGAATATGCATTATTTTTGCTGTAATGTAATTTTACATAATTATTTGTGTTCTTGTCTCTATGTCTAGACATTGAGGAGTTTAAGGAGACCCACCGGCGCTCACTGACAGTAAAAGAAGGGGACACTGCTGTTATTCAGTGCCCGCTACCCCCAAGTAACCCTCCAGCTTTACCACGTTACAGAATACGGGGCAAATGGCTAGAGGAGTCTACCGGTATGGAATAATGTCTTACAGCTTTAAGTGTAACTCCTAATTTAAAAAAAAAAAACTGTTGCATAAAAAATTAAAGAGGAAGGGATGTATTTCATTTCTTTGTCTTTTTTTCAGGTCCATATTTAATCCTTCCCTCTGGGAACCTTCAGATAGTCTCTGTTTCCCCAGAACATCAGGGCATGTATAAGTGTGGTGCATATAATCCTGTTACCCGAGAGACCCGAGTAGAGGCCCACGGCACTAAGCTAATAGTGAAAGGTAAGACGAGGACGTATTTAAGAGTGATGGTGGCCTTTAGCTGTAGAATGATTATTTTTCAATCAAATTTATTTATCAAAAATGTTTAGAAAAGATGATGACTATTCATTGTGTTAACTTACCACCTCTCCTTTCACAGACTCAGACAGTCCCTTCCCTGTGGGGATAGTATATCCAGTCAACCCTGTTAACCTGACAGTGGAACAGTCCATGTCTCTGGTTCTGGAATGTGTAGTATCAGGAAGACCCTCTCCTGTTGCTAAATGGACAAAGGATGGCCATGAGCTGCTTCTGGCTTCCAGATTGAGACTACAGCACAGTAACCTGGTGCTGAGTGATGTTCAGTTAAGTGATGGTGGAAACTACACTTGCTCTGTTCAAACTGAGGATGGGGATGTGGTCAGTGCCAACTATACTGTGAATGTGCTTGGTGAGTTCACTGGCTTCAGCTGTTTTAACATTGGTAGGATCTTAAAGTTAAGAGATGTTTCATCTGCTTAACCTTCATGTTCGTTTACAATTGTACAGAGTTGTTCATAATTGTCTCACCTGTTGGCTCATACAGCTCTTCGTTTCTCCTCTCCTGTCCTTCCCTCCCTCACAGTGGCAGCTAGTGTAATGAGAGCTCTGTCTGACCAGACTGTGTCTTCTGGCTCATCTGTACAATTCACCTGTGCTGTCTGGGGAGACCCGGCCCCTAAAATCACCTGGCTGTTCAACTCTTCCCCACTTTTACCATCATCTCACGTCCAAATATCAGACTTCTCATTGCGTATTTCCTCAGTCACTGCTCAGGATCAGGGCATGTACCAGTGCCTGCTAGACAACGTGATTGGTTCTGCACAGTCCGCTGCCAGACTTAGTGTCCAATCAGGTATGGATCCTTCAATTTTCTTTTGCAAAACGAAATGCTGTGTCAAAGTAGAACCATCCCAAGGCAGATCATTAAAAGCATTTGCAGAAAAGAATCGCCTGATCACATTTATTTGTGGTGATCAAGATTATTTGTGCTGATTGCAGTTATTTTCCACAGTTGTTAGCTTTCACAATCATATGCTTATTTTGCACCAAACTGAATGTGAATTGGGTGTGCTTTCATCCATTGGGTTAAGGCAAATATATAGAAGCAAAAGAAAGCAGAAAATGCATTTATTGAGACATGTTATGGATCTTACAAAAACAACAAAGGTTCTAACTTCTGTGGTACTATAATAACTTTAGAGGGCAGCGGTGAGTGATGTTTATGTATTCAACCTGTATTTAAGATAGCTGATCAGCCAATTTGGCTAGTTGTGTACATTGAACAAAAAAGACAATTAAATAGGAAAACATAATAATGTAAATAATAATTAATCGCATCTAAAATCTTATGTTTGGGACAGGCCTTTTGCTGTGTTTGCCTTGTTTGAGTATTAAGTCAAACATCCATATATTTGTAGTCTTTAGAAGATTAAAGAAGGTTTAAGTTTGGATAACTAAATCAGTGACAATTTTCATATGGGACTAAGTTGGTCTAGGTTTTAGGAGTAGGATAGACTTGGCTATAGGAGTGTCGGAGGCCGGGTTATGGGATGTGTACAGACTTTGGCTGCAGCAGCACTGGGGGAGGGTTACAGGAGCGGGAGAGGTTTTGGCGGGCAGTAGCGGGGCCGTGAGAGTGAGCTTTGTGCGCACTATCGGGGATAAGCTCTCAAACAGCGGAATGTAAGGAGTAACTACACAAGGTTATGACGAGAAGCAGACCACCCAGCTGTCAACATCACACACAACTGGCCTTATATTTATTAACACACACATACACACACACACACTCAAATCCACATATACACGCGCGCACAAGCTTACACAGAACCTCCCCCGCTCTCCTCTGGGTCTATTCGTCAGGGCTGCCCTGCATCCCTGAGCTTGATTGATAAAGGCAGAGATAGGGAGGCTTCACATTTGAAAAAAGACGGCCGAGGTCATTTCCAAATGTTGGCTCACACTGTTTTTTTCCTGGCTTGCAGAACGGGAGATTTATGTGGCTCTGCTAAAATGCGGGTCGGTTCAAAATCATGGGTGTTTATGTTAAACTGCAGATTTGAGTCAGATATTTGGAGGCACATGTTACAGAAAAACGTTGCATTGTTTTGAAACCAGCAACTGTAAAAAAAAAAAGAAAAAAGGCAATAAACACAATGCAGTTAACCCCTTGACATCTTGAGTGGGTACTGGTAATTAAAGGGGTTAATTTTCGGGTCTTGGACTCTGTCCGCACAGTCCGTAAAACCGTAAAAGAAAATAGAATGAAAAAAGAAATAAATAAAGACAGATGCTTTGCAACAGAGAAACAGCTGTCTTATGGAATACAGTGCTGTCATGGATATAAAGCTAACTATCTTTCAATAATGCTAGCACTGAAAATTAGCATTGTTGTATGACACTCATACTGGTGTACAGTTGTAAATGATATATTACTCAGCTCTAGTTTAACCCTGTTGAGCTCATTATCTCGCCTGCGATCCATTCTGTGAACCTTTTAACTCAGTTACTTCTACCCCAGAGGGGTTCCGGCACCAATTGGCTCTGAATGTGGTAGTATTTTAGACTTATTTAGAGTCAGTTTTAGACTCATTTAGAGTCAGTTTAGATCAGCTTGCGCTTATTATTGTTTCATTTAATCAGAGTATTAATCTGTGTTTTCTTCCTCAAAAAGGTAGTTTGTGAGAAGCTAAATAAAAATCTTCAAATTATTGGCTTTGTTCTTAAAAGGTCTGAATGGTAAATATCATTTATTAAGACTTGTATGTGTTTTAGGTGAAACTTCCCTGCCTGTAATCCTGTCCCCTCCGGAGAATGGCGTGTATGCAGAGGGAGAGCCAGTCACTCTATCCTGTAACGCCAGTGGTCAGCCTCTCCCTGTGATCCGCTGGTACAACTCAGCAGGTCCCATCGCCACTCACCCCGCCCTTTTGCTCCAGGCCCCGGGGGGTGAAGCCATGCACCCCGAAGATGCGCCATCCCACCTCACCATGTCCCGTCCTGGCAGCAGCAGCCTCTACATTCAGACCGTGACCGCAGCCCATGCTGGAAAATACATCTGTGTGGCCTCTAATGAGCTGGGCTCCGTACAGGCCGAGGCATTTCTGACCGTGGGTGAGCACATCTAACTTCTGTTCACTGTGCAGCAGTGGGCAATAATGTAAAGAAATATACACCTTTTTTTTGTTTGATAAGTTGGAACAGTCATGGTGAAGCTGTACAAACAAGCCACATTTAAAAATTGACATCAGAAAATATGTACAATGATATGAAATGAAACAGAACCTATTCTGTGCTTTTGAACTAGGCAGTGTCAGGATTTGCAGTCTCCAGATTATAAGAGATCAATTTTAGACAGCTATGCCACTTAGAAGCCCTACTTTATCTCTTTCTAATGAAACATGCAGTTAGATAAGTATTCTTTAAATATGGGCAATACCCACAATGGGCTCACAAATGCAAAAATAATTGTAATAGTGATGTTGTCATATTGCCTACCCCAGAACATAGTACATAATCTCTCTTTCTCCCTCTTTCTTTCTGTGTCTCATCATAGCCAGGTGTGATGGCACTGTACCAGTGGTAATGTTTATAGACTACCCTACATTCCTGTATTAATGGAGAGAGAGGCAAGACGTGAGTCAGAGAGAAAAAAAGACAGAGAGAGGGATTGAAAAGAGAACACTCAAACAACCTTTACCTCACCCACTTCGTCCACTTTCGTTCTGGCTGTGGTGATGTGGCTACGTGTCCAAGTGCATCAGAGAGTGAACAGTAAGAGTACAGAGAGAGAGAGAGAAAAAGCGAAAGAGTGAAAGAGCGTAGGGACGAAGGGTGAGCATTTAGAGCTGGTTTAGGGCTCTGATTCTCTCCGGTATTTTAATGGTTGTGAGGTGGAATGTGAGTCCACTGGCTGCAGGCCCAGCCTCCGCTCTACTGTTACCAGCTCTGGGCCTGTTTGTTTTGTAAAGTAAACCAGCAGCACGCACCTAAAATCAGGCCGGGTCAGAGATCCAGAGGCACGGTGACTTAACCTGGCTCTGCACCTCACACTAAACCCTGTTGACAGTGCTGTTTTACTCATCTACATTCAATTGCCACTCTCCCCTTGGCTTGTATTGGTTTGGCCAGCCACAGAGCAAGAAGGGCGGGCTCACCATACGACTCACACTTTCGCTGTCCTAGAAGACTCAAGAAAAAATTTCATCCTTCAGCTGCTAAGCCAGTGTCAGACATAATAACATTTCCAGCTTTCATTATTTCCCAGGTGGGCCATTCTGGCTGCAGTGGGTAATGAAAAAAAAAAAACAAACAAAGCCTTATTATGTAGTGCCATGCGTGTCCTGGGCTTTCTCCACTGCTGTGTGTTTTTTATGTAGATTGAAATGGCTCCTTCCCGATATTAAAGTTTGTAGGTACAGGCTGGACATGAGTCTGCTAGTGGCTTTCACGACTCTACCCAAGACTTTTCAGCGAGAGTTTTGGGAGCTTTTTCCAGGGACGGATGTGAAGTCCTTGGCACAGTGCATTAAATGCACAGACAGCCTGTCTGCAGTGCTGTTAACTTACCATTTTATGATAGGCCTTTCAAATGCAAGGAAATGCTGGTCATTGCATAATGGCGCCAATGCAGTAAGGCCTAACTAGTGTGGAAATTTTGTGACTGATAATGATTACAAATTCATATTCCAATACAGTTTTATATGATCAGTAACATTGATCTTCTGACACAGTTTTATACTATCTTATTTTTCATCAGTGAAAACATTTTTTATAACATTACTCTCAAATGGCAATTGTGTGGGAATTGTCTGATATTTTTAATACATATCTGCAGATGCCGAGACATAGACATCTGTAAAATGTACAGAGAAATGTAACATTCTGCTGTTCCAGAGTACGATACGATACCTAACCAAACATACACTGACCAGCCACTTCATTAAGTATACCCCTTGTATCTACACTCACTGCCCACTTATCATGTAGGTGCATTGTAGTTCTACAATTACAGATTGTAGTTTGTTTCTCTGTATACTTTTTGTTAACAACTCCAGAAACACTGCTGTCTGATCAACTCATACCAGCGCACACCATACACACACTGACACACCACCACCGCATCAGTGTCTCTGAAGTGCTGAGAATGATCCACCACCCAAATAATACTTGCTCTGTGGTGGTCCTGATCATAGTAGAACAGGGTAAAAGCGGTCTAAGAAAGTATGCAGAGAAACAGAGGGACTACAGTCTGTAGTTGAAGAACTACAAAGTGGACCTAGATGGTAAGTGGAGCCGATAAAAAGGACAGTGAGTGTAGATACAAAAAAGTGTACTTAATGAAGTGGCTGGTGTGTGTGTATGTGTATACACTATGTGCACACATACGCATATATTATAATATTTTTTACATTTTTATGCCATTTTTGTATACAAGTAGGCTTTTCACTTTGGAGGTGTTTCCTTATTACAGTATAATACAAGCCACTACATATTTGTATTTTTGTGTATTTGTGTTATTGATGGGATGTGTCACCAATATTGATAATATGACCATAATTTTGGCCAGTATTATTGGTCAGCTGCCATTTTAGTCATGCCCTGCAACACCAAGTACAGGAAAAGAAAATGTCTGAACTCAACTTCTTAATGGAAGTGAAAGTCATCTATGGTTACAAGATTCCTACAAAGAGAAATCAACATTAGGAACTAAAACAGATTTAGAAATTCTCGTTTTTTTATAAAGATGTGTAAAAATTACTGAAGAACAGCTTTATTTTGACAGAACCTCAGTCCAGTTCCACGGTCGCTCCTGTGGAGACGCAATCTACTGTTCATCCAATCCAGAATGATGAGGGGGAGGAGCTGTTTCTGCCTCTGGGAGGAGGTGATGCAGTAGGTCCACCTACCGAGAGAAGCAGTGACAAACCCACGCCTGAGGCACCAATCATCATCAGCCCACCCCAAACGCACAAACCCAACACATATGATTTGGAGTGGCGGGCAGGGCGAGACTGGGGCAGTGCAATCAACGCTTACTTTGTCAAATACCGCAAGGTGAGAGTGATAAATCTTTTTCATTTCTGAGGAAGTTTATTTCGATGCCTCTTTTGTAGATGTTTGACTTGCCAGTGATTTATGAGTGATTTATGGTTGTGTTTTTCCCAAGAGTCATTAATAAAAGCCATATTAAGGGTACATACTAATAAAAATACTGAGACTGTGGCTTCCTCTCAGATCAGTTGTAACAATAATCTCTCTTGCATCATCTGTTGTTTTTGCGATGTCATCAATAATAAATTTATCACATTTGCATTGACAGTGCTGGCTCAGGGAAAAACAGCACAGTTTTTGCTCAGGCATTCCTGTGTAGGCCAGCCCTTTGTCATCATTCCCAACATGGGGAAAATAAGAGAGAGAAAGAATAAGAGAAGGACCTGATGTGTGAATGTGGTAAGAATTGGTATATAACTGTCTGTGTGTGTTTCTATAGGTGGATGACATGGGGAACGTGGTGGGCAGTTGGCACACGGTGCGTGTTCCAGGCAGTGAGAAGAGCCTGCCTCTGTCAGACCTGGAGCCGTCCAGCCTGTATGAGGTGCTCATGGTGGCCCGCAGTGCAGCTGGAGAGGGACAGCCTGCCATGCTTACCTTCCGTACTGGCAAGGGTGAGGAATACACACATACAGAAACAGACACACACATGCACCAGTTATTGCTGTCGTAAGACAACCTCTTGACTCTGGTTTTTCCTGTTTTTATTTTTTCATATCATTTGAAAACCCCAGCTTCTTTTTATGTTGCGTGTACATTGCATGACGAATGAACCATTATAAATTAAAAAAAAACAGATGTTAAGAATGTTTTCCATCTGTTAAGTTTCTGGTTTGGGGAGATATATAAGTATTTACCTTTACTGATGTACAAAAGCCTTATCTCCTCAAAAATGTAAACTTTATAGAAAGTAAAATCATTCCAAACATCTGTAATATAGATGGGTATATCAGAGTAAGAATTTGAATAACGGAAATCACTATTCAGGTATTCTGTACCACCACAGGATTTCACCACAGGAAGATGGATAAAAAATACAGGAGACTATGCCAAAGACTTGGCATAGAAGATAACAGGTCCTCATCAGCTTCCAGCGTCGTTGCAGTCAGTGTTAGCTCAGTAGCTCTTCTAAAGGGGCAGCTTCTGCTATTCTTCTGACTCGAAAATGTACCAATTAGCTATTCTTGAATGATAAAACATCTTTTTTAATGTATTCCCCGGTGTCCTCTGCAAGTCATTTAAAAAAGTAAACCTGTAGCCCTGCGTTGATTTCAGCATAACATAGCCTGAACCCACAGTGGGAATAACAAACCTTTACAACTTTTTTAGTAGTTCTTCTCTGTCTGTCTTCCTCTCTCTCTGTCTCACTCTCTTTTCGGGTGACATTCTCAGAAAGGAGCTCCTCCTCCAATAAAAACCCCTCCAAGGCCCCGTTTGTGTCTCAGCCTGAGAAAGCTCCGGAAGACAAAGCTGTCAACACACACTATGGAGTTGTCATACATGACAGAGGTAAGCCCCCGTTACTCACTGTTAAAGATGAGCGCATCACAATTGGTCCGTGTGACTGAAATGACTTTAGCACATGCTTCAAATAGTTGTGATCTGGAAACAGGGTGAACAGTGTGTGATTGAGTGTGAAGACAATATGCAGTGATCTTAATTGGGCATGTGTGTGTGTGTGAGTCAGAATTTGTTTGGATATTAGTACAGACCTCACCTAATATATCGTAAGCGTCTTTTTTCACTAACCCTCTTTGGCTTTCTCCTCTCTTTCTCCCCCTCTCTCTGTTTGCCTTTCTGTCTATGGCCCAGAGCCCATTCAGTAAGTACATGCTCCACTCTGGCATGCAGTTTGTCTATGTTGTGTATGTCTGTTTATTTTCTCTTTCTCTTTGTGTTCATCCCTTTTTACTAGATGGATGGTCAACTATTTGTAGTTGTCAAGAAACATGCTTTGTTCATTTTGGGTCCAGATAAAAAAGAATGATTGTATTGTAGTATTTAGGGATGCACGATTATTTCAGAACCATGCTGGTATCAGCAGATAATTTGCTTTAAGAAAATAGTGTGATTGATTCCAATACCAATTTTAGGACTTTTTAAGAAGGTTTGTTTTTCCTCTTGCTGAAGATTAGATCTGAATGAATTTTACATGCTTTTGTCATTTGAATTATGATAATAGTTTTTTTATTTTGTTTTTTTTTGTTGTTGTTATTTTGTTATTTTGTATGGTAACATAAGTAAGTATTAGCAGCTCATTTGAAGTTCAAACTGCTGGACCTCAATATTGGCCACTATTTTTTGCCAACCAGTATGTAGTCTTTTTATTTCTCTAACTTCTTCATTTTGTCCTACAGTTCCAGAGGCTCCAGATCGACCTACCATCTCAATGGCGACAGAGAGTTCTGTATATGTTGCATGGATCCCACGAGCCAATGGTGGCTCTCCGATCACAGCCTTCCGCGTGGAATATCGAAAGCAGGGCCGCAGTGGAGACTGGATCATCGCTGATGACAACATATCGCCTCTCAAGCTGTCTGTGGAAGTGCGCAAGCTAGAACCAGGTGAGGTTATAAATACACTCATTTATTTCTGTCTGCATAGGGATTCGTCACAGAAAGGTCACACAGTTTAGTCCAGCATTGCTTATTCCATGCAAGTGTAGTTATGTAGCAAGTGTAATCAGAGCACACCATTATCACAGAAAGAGATGGAACAAGGGTGTTTGAGGGACCAAATTTGCCATCATTAAGCGTTTCATTTGGCAGAAAAGGATTCTGCAGTAAATTGTTTCCTAGAGCTGTGGCTCAGCAAATGCAAACCAACAGCAAGCTTGTGGATCACAAATGTTTTATTATGGGCAATTTAGTTCTAACAGTGAAAGCATGGCAATTATAATATTTATAGTATTTTTTAATCATAGCATTATGTAGCATATACCACAAAATTACTTTACACAGTTGATGGATAGCACTTAATCCGATGTGGATTTGGTAAGCTTACACGTTTCCATTCACAGGTTCCACATACCGCTTCCGCGTCATTGCCATGAACAATTATGGTGAGAGTCCTCACAGCGCCATCTCCAGGCCATACCAGGTAGCGATGGTCAGTCCCCCCATGTCTAACCGTCCCGTAGCTCCAGTGAATGGCCCTCACATTTCATCTATAGATGCTGTCAGTGACACACAGATCATGGTGCGATGGACCGTAAGTACTGCAGCAGCAGCAGACACACCACATTATGCAGAGTTAAAGACAAGTTTCTTCGGTACATAATCAGCACTATAATACCCCTTTAGAAGCCATAATTGGGTTTATTTTTATATTTTTGCCTGCAACTTGGTGATATGTTACATTACTACTGTCACATGATCTATGCACTTTGATTCAGTGCAAACTCAGCTGTTCAGTAAAGCCAATTAGTTAAACAAATGTACAATTTTTAAGAAAAAAATAATTCATGAATAATGCATGAGCAGACCTACCAACCTTTACGAATTCTGCATAGCAGGTACGCATTTTGACATCAAAGTACGCTGATAAGGTTTGTCACTCTAAACTTTGCAAAAAGTGCAGTACTGAAATCTGACAGCTAGAGGCAGCAGCATCTGTCCTTCGAAAACTGAGTTCATTCCCCGGGGATGACAAATGCATAATGTCAATCATTTCAACAGACTGCAAATCGATAGCAACACAAAATATTTTTCTGTCCATTTCATTCGCCCTCCTCACTCCGTCTGGCCGGTTCCACAAGGTAGGACAGTGCTTTTAACTCCTTTGCAAAGGTGAACAAGCTGGAGTGGATGTGGGAAGTTGAAACTTAATGCAGCCAACTTTAGGGAATTATTTAACGTTAATTATGTTAGCCTAACGTTATGTAATTTGCAAGTAAGTTTGCTTGTTCACCACTCATTTAAATTGGCAATGTTATTTTGTCCATTTATTGGCGTATTGTTGTTAAATGTGACTTGTCACAGTACTGTATTCATAATTATTATTACAGCTAAATCTGTAATCGTGATAAGCAGATCATGGCAGGATGAAAAAAGGCGAGCGCACGTGCCGCAGAAATAACATTACCTAGAAATTTACCAGGAGGTATGCTCTTGTGTGCATGCCTTACAGTTAAAATAAAGAAGAGTAGGACATGGACGGGGGAGAGAGAGCAGACCCTACTGAATATCCAAACTTGATATGGCAGTGAGGGGGGAAATGACTGTGAACTAAACATTTTTTTTAAGCATTACACTATTATGCTGCACAAAATATTTTCCCAAGGTTGGTAGGTCTGCATGAATAATCTCAAAACCAGAGATTCATTTATTTACATTTTTACTGAAAAAACAAGGACAACACGCAGACCAAAACTATTTGAAACAATACTCTGTACAGTCAACCATCTAAACAACTTAAATGTATCACTAGAAACCTCTGTTGTATATATATTTACATACATGTGACCATTTTTCTCAGTGCTGTCAGTAGGAGTTTTTAGTTTATGCTCTTACTGGTGATACGAGTTGCTATTTAGCTGTATGGAGCCCCGTCACACTCCTAACATTTCTCAAAAGTCATCACTGCCCTCGAAAAGCTACTTCAGCACACATCTTGAAGAAAATGTAGTTTTTCTGCAGTCTGAAGTCAAATGTTTTGAGGTTTTCAGAAGTTAAGCTGGAATTTGCTAGTGACTATATCGGTAGTCACATTTTCAAAAGGAAACCACAGCGGAGTGGGAAGGTCTCTAAACTAAATGCTTACTTTGGTTGAATCTGTTTGATGATGTATTTAATCGCCTTATTGGCTACCAAGCTATGTTGTTGTGACGACAGCCACAAAAAAGTAAAGAAAAATAGGACTGCCAAACTCTTATTTTTATACACTGATCTAATGGGTGGGCAATACAGCTGACTCTGCAGATGTTGTGTAGGTGATTTCATACATGGGTATACAACACAATAGCAGATATGTCATCATGGTACTTTATTATGTGCATACTTTGTTGTATTATTTAATGCTATAAATGCCTTACAGCTTATAGAAGTACACACTTGTACTCTTGGTTTGCTTAAAAAGCAACAGAAAAAAACACCACTGAATTTGTAGTTAATACCCAGAAACAGTGATTTGACTTCTAAATGAGTGCGTTACACTAATGGCTAAACCAGGTGTGCTGTGCTTCGAATTATGGCCTGCCCACATAATTAGGCTCACATTTCATGCTAAAAAATCAAAGAGAGATTAAGTTCCCATCAGCCTCCACTGCCAAAACCTCTCATGTCATCTCTGAGCTCTGACATGCTCCAAGTGAGGAAAGAGAGGGTTTATTTTTGTTAGTTTTCACCTCCCTGCCTGCTTCATTTGTGTGTTCTCAGTATCAGATGTGTGGTGTGTGAGCATCTGTTCATGTGTGTGTGTGTGCGCAATTTTTTCAGATGCTGTTGTAGGGTGGATTTTAAAACAGGGGATATTCTATTTCCCATCAGCCCCTGAAAAGTTCCCCTGCGGCGTGCACTGCTAAAGCAGGCCTCTAATTGGTTGAGCCCACTGTGACCACTGTAAGGCTGCAAGTGTGTGTGTGTGTGTGTGTGTGTGCGTGTATGTGTGTGTACGTTTGCAGAACATATTAGGAGGCCCTGTCCAGATACGGCTGTAGCGGAATAGAGTGAAAGCTATTTTTAGAGTATGGCATGGGAGGAGAGCTTTAAATGAGTGGTGTGTTTTAAGGAAATGGAGGAGAGAGCTAGTGAGAGAGTGAGAGAAAGAGAGAGAGATATGGTTTGTTCCTCTTGATGTTTGCAAATAATAGCTATGGGCACACTGCGTATGTGTTTGGGTGAACTCTTTTGTTGAAGGTGAGCAGACAGTGTTCTGCTGTGGCATCAGTCTGCTAACCTGCTCTGAGGTGCTGCTTGTTGTTTATGCAGCAAGCTTAAGTAGATCTTATGTTTTGTTATCTACATTGTACACCTGCACAAAGTTTCATACAAACCACTGCATCGCTGTGTCCTAAAAAACATAATTTTGCTTCAAAACGTCTTTTACAGTATACTGCCAGCTTTTGTTTATTTCTTTTTCTAACTCTCTTTTTCTCTCTGTCCTGCAGTACACTCCCTCCAGTAACAACAACACCCCCATCCAGGGTTTTTACATCTACTACCGACCCACAGACAGTGACAATGACAGCGACTATAAGAGAGACGTGGTAGAAGGTAGGATGAATCCATATCTCATGCTCTGATTCGTTCTCAACATTGATCCCAATCCCTTTCCCCTAAACGCTGCAATCAGGCTTGTAGTCACTGAAGAGCAAAAAATAAAGATGCTCTGAAGGTGAGGGGGTTAGAATGCGATATGGTGGACCTATGGACTAGGTATGTGTGTGCATGTGTATGTAATAGATATCTTGTGTGCAAGGGGGCGGACCGAGGGAAGCTCATTCTGCTGATTGATGTGCAGTGAGTCTGGGGCTTGGCGTAATGAGCCAGGCTAAAATGTGTTTTTAATAAATGGCTGCCTCTCTAATGGGCCTGAAATGAAAGCCTACACTCCGGACTGCGAGAGGGGGCTTGTACGGCCCAGAGGAATGTTAACAGTGATCCCCAGACCTCCTCCACTACTTCTCCCCTTCCTGACTATTCTCTCTCTTTCTCTTCCCACTTGGTCTGTTCATCTTCACCTCAGTGTTACTTACTTGTATACGTGACTCAAATAAGTCAACTTCATAGCAGGGAAAAAAGAACATTGCAAATCTGGTGACCATGGTGGTTGGTCCACCCTGACTGGTCCACCCTGATGTCATCTGACCTAGGTTATTTCATTAGCCACTGTTTAGCTTATTTAACACATTGTTTTATTAAAGTGATATTAGCAAACCTTAGCCAGTGGAACAGCATCTTTGATGCCAGACGAACGAACTCAGCAAGGGGGATCACCACAGACACCACACCATATCATTAGCTGTCACTGTGGTTATGGTTAACAAATTGCAGCAAAATTATTTGTCTGATTAGTTTCATATCTGACCAAACAGGCTCTTTTCCTAAAAGAGAAAAAAAGAAGTGGCCATTTGAACCACTCTGCTCTGCATTTAAGCAGCCAAAATATGAAATGTTGTGGCCAGGGGCACCAGCAAAATATAAGCAGTGTTAAGCCTTGTTCATAGGTCTTGTACAACTATCCATGCTTTCTCTGTGTCTGTCTGCGTTTGGTAAGTTCATCAGGCCTTGGGTGCACACACAACAGAAACTATTTACATATGAAGCATAATCTTTGATTACAGAGCTGATTCAGTGTGTGTGTGTGTGTGTGTGTGTGTGTGAGCTCACAGGGCTGCAGTGTGTTGTGAAGTCTGAGTGTGTGCAGTGCAGTGGGAATTACTGGAGCTGGGCCAGAACAAACATTAAGCTGCCTTATAAGGAGTCTGTCTGGAGTAAAGCATGTGTCTGAGGACTCGTGGGACTGCAGAGAGAGAGAGAAAGAGAGAGTGAGGGGAGAGGGGAGGACTTTGGAGGGAACAACACACGCTTTGAGAGAGGTAGCCCCATGTAATTATGCCACACTAACCCTGCCCCCTTCCTCTCCCCTTCGCACAGGCGTCAAGCGCTGGCACATGATTGGTCAGCTCCAGCCTGAGACATCCTATGACATCAAGATGCAGTGCTTCAATGACGCGGGAGAGAGCGAATACAGTAACGTGATGATCTGCGAAACCAAAGGTGAGAGAGAGGAGGAAAGGGAGAGACACTGAGGCTGTACTGTTACGGGAATGCTATACTTAAACTGAAGACAGGAGGCTATAAAAGTCACTGCTGTAATTACAGACCTGAACAGAGCGATGGTTTTATTAGAGTCAGAGACAATGGCACACATTGTACTGCTTCGCCTTTACCTCATGTACTAATGACTGCTATTAATACAGGCCTGGTGAAATCAAAACAAGACTCAAAGCACAGAATGACCTGTTGTTACCACATAGTTTTGAACCTGTAAGAGGCCAGCTGAACAGATGTTTGTTTACTCAGTGGATGTTTGTTTGCTTTCAGCATGCATTAATTTCACAGCATTTATAAACATATTTGCAATCCTCCCTTCTCCCCCGTCTCTCCTTCTCACTCTCTCTCTCCTTCTTTCAGCCCGCCAGCCTCCAGGTGTTCCGAGCCAGCGGCCCATCACCCCGCCGGGTGTGTACCCGCCCGACCCTCCTAGCTCAGCAGGTGGCCTGCTGTATCTTATTGTGGGATGCGTGCTGGGCGTCATGGTACTCATCCTGCTCGTCTTCATCATCATGTGCCTGTGGAGGAACCGCCAGCAGCACAACATGCACAGTGAGTCCAGATCCAGACCTGTGGGGAAATCCACTGCCAAATTTTATCTAACTCCAGCAGGCCTCAGAAGGCCCTTTGAAGCTCTTTCTCTCTGAATGGGGTTGAGTAACTGAGTAAACACTGTGGGCTGTGTATGTGTGTGAGAGTGCATATCATGGGGGTGTGTGTGTGTGTAAAAGTAGTAGCCCACATATTCCGCTCACAGAAGTAGGTTACATTCAGCCCATGTGGTGGATTCTGTAACAGATGTGTTGAGCCACGACTGGTGCGTTTGTATACAAGTAATGTGTGGATTTGTCAGGGCCTAAAAGTTTATGTATGTGTTTGTGCATTTATACAGTACTTAACAAAAGTCAGAGACCGTCCTTCATTTATTTATTTTCAAGTCGAAATAGCCATTAACTCTGTAAGGCTACTTATGGATACTTCTGCTGTTTAATAAGCTGTTCTGCATGCTCACTCCCAGTTCATCCAACAATAAAGGAAGCCTCATGTATCTTTTATCTAGTGACAGAAAACACAGTTTTCTCAGAATACATTGTCACCAAGACACTCAGTTTTATAGGGTACAAGTTATTCATTTTTCAGGAGATATATCTGAAGAGATTAGATATGAGATAATCCATTTGCATAACGCTGTGGGTCTGAAAGGATGTGTTGCTGTCAAAAACCTGTTACTGAAAAAAGGAAATAAATAAAAGGCAAAAAAAATTGCAAATCAAACAAAGAAGCTGCTGGTGTTTGCAGAAAAATGGATTGGACTCCAGACCTTAAACATCACTGAATGTGTTAGAGATTCAGTCTGAATGTGATGGGGATTCAGTCTGAGACTGAACTTTAGAGGTGTGGAGAAAAATCACTCCAGATCTCTTTAAAAAACTGAAAGCAGGTCTCTTGAAAAGACTGGAAGATTCAATGAAGGCAGTAGTTTATCATATTTAGTTGTTGAGGTTTATGTGTAACTTACTGTTTATGTGTACATTTTTTTTTCCTCACCCTTCCTTTAGAGTATGACCCTCCTGGCTACCTGTACCAGCCTGCAGAAATGAATGGCCATGTTCTGGAGTATACAACCCTGCCAGGCTCCAGCCGGGTCAATGGCAGCGTTCATGCTGGCTATGGCCACGGAGGGCCCGTCATGGCCCAGGGTTGCCATCACCTCCACCACAAACTCCCCAATGGCCTTACACTGCTCAATGGCTCTGGACCCCTCTATCCTTCGGGGCATTCTCACAGCCATGACACCCCACTGCCCCACAGCACCATGGACTATGAGCACCCACACACACACCACATCCACAATGTGAGTGGATAGAATGACTGCACAACTGTAACCATTTTTCTATGGATTTTGAGTTTCTGTGGTCTGAGTTTGAAAGTTGCGTATGTAATATATGGCAGAACCTGACTAATATGAAAATCATCACTGATACTAATTTTAAGGAGCAAAAAACTACAATAAGCAGTATAATTTTTAGATGGTTGGAAATTGAATAGACGTCGGTGGTTGTTGTTGAACTGTGCTTTACTGGCTGATTTGACCCTCAGTTATCAACTGAGTGGTCAGCTATTATTGCCAGTTTTCAGTCATTAAATTTTGTAAACTCATGAACAGAAACTCACTGAAAGAAAGATTTAAATCAGGGGGAACTGAGGAATGGAGTCCAGCACAGTTTGATGAATTCCTTTCTCTGAAACGCCAACCAAACTTGGATATGAAACCTGGAGTTGAATCCGGTGTGTTTCAACATAAAAATCACCACACTGGAGGACTAGAGTTCCTCACCTGTAGCCAAATATAAAACAATCTGAGTTCACACGTGCCTCCTGGCACCTGACAGTATGTTAGGTTGTTGTAGCTGTATCAGCCAGATGCTAACCCCTTTAAATCTATAACCTAAGAATAGCTTAAGCAGTTTGCATTGAAGTCCCTATAGTTACTGAATAATAAGCCTTAGTATGTAATAAGCCTGAGATTTTAAAGGGTTAATCAATGCCAGTAAATCTGTGGAACATATCCTTGGAATATGTTAGGCCAAACAAAATATTGGTCGGCACCTAATGTATGGTATTGTATGCTGTTAGGTGTGAAGTGTAACATCAAAGTGAAAGTGTGTAGCAAGTAAGTGAAGTACTGCAGAGCTAATTCTGGTCTTGCTGTGGCAGGGGGGAGGAATGTACACAGCTCTGCCCCAGACGGACTCGTCTGACTGCATGAACTGCCAGAACTTCTGTAACAACAACAGGTGAGAGAAAGCAAGCTGTAGAACTGCTGTTCAGCATGCTTCCAATTAGGAAACGAATCATCTGGTGCTTAGGCCACCTTTGACCCGAGTGTGTTCAGGTCTAGACACACGTGCACACATAGACACACACACACACCATGGCATGCGTCCATCAGTGAAGCTTGTTTATATATTCTTGTGTGTCCGGCACTAACAGTTTATTCGGAGTGCAGCCAATGGGACTCTCTTAATGAGAACAGTGTTTACTTCCCCCGGGCAGGGGGTGGGTGAATGGAACTGATAGGAGTAAAAGTCATTCAGAACTTACTCTTTGTTTGTATGTGGGTGCATTAATCTGTTTCAGAGTTTATTTACTCGTGTTTATGTATATTTAGATCTCAAGGTTCTGTTTGTTTTTTTGTTTTGCATGTATGTGTGTCAGTGTGAAGGCAGCTGCTGCTACCCAGCATAGAGAAACAGACCTGTTCTCTGATAAAAAGCCCACAGGAGCTCACTCAGAGTGGGGGCTGATAGGATTAGAACAGTGATTTTGATAGGATCAGTATATAAACATGATGCTTAGAGTGTTGTTCTAATGAGATGTTTACCCAGACTAGGCTCATTGACATTGGTACTCGGATTTCTTGTAGCTTTTAATGAATGAAAAGAGGCATAAAACGTTTTTTAAACGTTTTTTAAAAAGGCTTTAAGTGTAATGGATTAAAAAAATACAAATATAGAAGAAAATTGGACAGCACTACCTTAATTTGCTTACTCATTGTTTCTTTAGAGGAATACTCCTGTGTTTTTCAACAAAATGTCTATCTTCAGTTAATTATCACAGACAGTAATTACTGTATTACAGTACTTAGAAGAGAACAGAAATCCATTGACTCAAAGGCACTTCATCACCTGCTTTTCTAATCATAGGTAAATTGCTATGCATAGTAATTGTATGTTACAAATGCAGCAGATAGAGTTTAGTCAGAAAAACACTGGAGTATTCATTTAATAGTCTCATAACAGCCCAGCCTTTAAGTTTCCTCAGTGTCCTGACACAAACCACCAGTCTACTAACTGATGCTACTCATCACAAGGGCTGGAGAACTTCACAATACTATATGTATCACAATACAGTGCAGATACCACATATACAACATACATTTTTACTAATGTGTACCAAATAAAAAAAAGGCTACAGTAATAATGAATTAATCAATAATGATGAATAAATAAATAATGCTTTTGAAAAATGTATTAGTAAAACTTTCTATGAATACCATGTCTATAATAAGCTATGAACACATTCATAACATGTTATAAAGCATTCATCAGGCAATACTAATACCCATGTTCATCATGCATTATGAATTGTTAATATAACGCATTATAATTAGTGTTCATAACACATTATATTGTGCCAAAGAAACTCCCAGTTGGTGGAGTGCACTATGATACAAAAACCTGCCAAGCCATGAACAAACACACAGAATGTGCATACTTGGCATTATGGATATAGATTATTATTGATAGACATATGATGTAGTAACCCCATTATAACAGCTTGTAAGTTGTATTTGTCAGCTCGGTAAAGTGAGGTGTATTTTATACTAATACCTCCTCCAATATTATGTTAGGCCTTACTAAGTTGAAGGATTTACTAAAACACTGCAATATATGAAGTAAAGAATGTTTTACAAGGTCAAATTTCAGAGTTTTAGTGGTTCCACTGATAGTGTTTAACCCAGTGACTTTCCCACACAAATAAATTCTGTGGGTGTTTAAGCAGGTTTCTTAGTCTTAATGCATTCTGCAAACTGGAACTGACTTTTTGGCACTGACAATACAACATGTTATAAACACTACTTATAATGCATTAGGTTGACAATTCATAATGCATAAAAAACGTGGCTATAATGTGTAATTCATAGTCATGTTTGTAATGCCATATGAATGCATTACAACATGTTATGAAAGTGTTTATAGATGCTCATTCATAGAAAGTGTTACCAGGTATGGTTCATTCTGAGGTACTGGTCAGAGAACGCAGATGCAGAGTATTAAAATGTCTTCATTTGTAAATGCAAAGGCAGCAGCACAAGTAGTAGACATATGCATCTGAGACCGTGGGATGTAAAATTAACAGTGAACAAAAAATTCACTAATGTGACAAAGATCGCATGTATCACGTCATTATATGCGTTTAGCAGCACTACAGAATGGAGGAACTCTGCAAAGTAACCACAGTGCTAAGGGTTGAGTGCTTATTGTAGCAGCTTATTGTATTTTTAAACTGTAAAAAGTTGTTGAACCCTTAGTTAACAAGCAACGTTAACAAGTCATAATCGGCAACAATAGCGAAAACCGACAGGACAAATCAAACATACATTTTGGAATTGGGATTGCTGAACATAACTGAACACACACACAGTGTAGATGGCTCATATCTATACAAGTGTGAAAGCTGGCCTGGCCAAGTCCTCATTACAGCACTGCACTCTGGCAGCTCTGAGTGGGAAGAACTGACATTTTGGCAAGAGAACACCGGTTAAGAGCCATAGGGTGTGTATTATTTAGACAAGTGTATTTGGAGAAAGTTTTAGCATGTTTGGTCAAAGTGCCTTGTTGAGAGCCTTGGGAAAAGAGAGTCTAGAACTGCTCTGCTGCTCAATAACCACTCTTCATATGCTCTCCCTCCATTGTCTGATCCATATGTGTGTCTTTTGTGACCAGGTGTTACACGAAAGCCAACGGCAACTTCTCCAGCGGCACTCTTCCCCTAATGCACCGTGTGGCACAGTGCCAACTTGACGGCCTTGAGATGGTGCCCCTGAACCACAACTCTCTCCGCTGCAGTGGCGACGACAACCCGCAGCTCCACGGGAACAGTGAGCAGGAGGCTGCCGTGGAAACAGTGGAGGACACAGCCCTGACCCCTACCCACAATCCTTGCCGTGTGCCAGTGGATGCTGAGCCAGGCGCCGAGCAGAGGAGAGGTGAGCCAAAGGCCCAGAGACATGCACAGAGCAGGATTCCCGGCACTTTTTCTAAAAGAATAAAACAGCGGATTCCCTTTCTGTTTTTTTTAGAACTATATACAGAATATCAGTAAGATTCTTAATTGACCCTCAGTGAGTTGCAATGCAGTATTAGACTGTCCGTCTGTCCTTTTAACAGTAGTTTGGATTTCCCACTTCAAGATGAAAACATGAAGCAAAATATGCCCAAAGCATAGCTGTTTCATTTTATTAAACCACTTGTTTTTTCTCACATTATAGAAAAGAAACAGTGAAAAACAAACATTGCATAGAAAAGTAGAAAAGACAGCAAGATGTTCTCCACACTTTTGGTGGACAGTCTATATACCAGTACTGTATAGTCTTACTTACTCTTCTCTCCCTTTGTCTCTCCCTCTCCCTCCCTCTCTGTGTGTTGTGTGTGCGTCGTCACACAGAACCAGAGGAGCCGGTGCAGTGTGTGGACTCTGATGGGCCGGTAGTCTGCTGGGAGAGGCTAGGTTTGCCTGATTTGGACTGTAAAGATAAAACAGCCTGGATCTCCTCTGCAAGTTTGACTGGAGATCTTATCCAGCCCACAGTGCAGGAGATCTGAACACATACATAAACACATACACGCCACATAAACACACACAAACAGTTTTACATATACACACCCCAAACATTCATACATACATGGACTGGGAAAGGAACATGCAACAGAAGAGGCAGGAAACCGCATACAAGACAAAGAGATGGCCAGTGATGACATGATCAGAGACTATGTGTAAACTGAAGGGCACTATACTAACTGACCAAGCTGTATGTGGATAAGTAAGGAGAAGTGAGGGATATAGAAAAAGAAAGAATGAAAAAAAAGCATGTAAAAAGACACAGAAGGATAGATTTTCGAAGAGATGAATCTATTCCATCTGTGGGAAGGACCCTTGAAAAAAAAAGAAAAGAAACTCTTTAGATGACTTATTTATTTTTTTGTAGTAGTAAAATATTATTTCATATGAATGTACCTGTTTTAAGAAAAAAAGTTCATCTTTTATATTATTTATGCTTTTTGGATGAGATACTTTTTATTTTTTTGTCATTTTATTTGTCGTTTTATTTTTGTCTCCTGTGTTCCACGCAGTGTGGAGTTTAGCCATTGTATGTGTAAAGTTGTGTAATAATATAAAGAGAAGATATGGAAGAGACAGTCCTTTTTTGGTGCTTTTTTCATGTTAAGTAGAGGGGGACAAAATAGGGGTGGCGCTATGGCAAGAACACCACAGTACTAAAAGGATTTTTGATGATACACAATATATGTCATATGATATTTGGTTTTTCTGAGGTTTGTTAAATTGGAACAGTAGAACTACATTTTAAAAATCCTGTGAAAAACTGTAAATACTGCACTACATTGAGTTAAACAAGACTAATCATGCTATCTGTAATGAAACATGCAGTTGATCAGTGTTTTTTAAGTACTGATGATATCCACAGCATGCTCAGAAACATATTTTGGAAAGGAATGTGACAATCACAATAACAATAAATACTGTTAAAATAACCACCCCTAGAGACAAAACTTTCCTCCAACTTATGGCCAGGTAGAGTATCCTTAACCCATATGCAAGTAAACATATTGTTATTTCTGTAAGATAATGACTCAAGTAAAAGTATTATTCACAAAAACAACTTTACTACTGAGTAACCTGCAGAACTGCAGTGGAACTTCTTAGTAGGTGCAGCATCTATGTTGTTCAGATGTTGAACAGATGTTGTTACTGACATAACAGAATCAAATTAAACATGGAAAAGGAATTTATAAAAAAGAAAAAAATCTAGAGTACAAAGTAGATTACTTTCCTCACCAGAGTGCAAAGTATTTGATAATTAATACTTTGGGAACTACAGATCCATCAGAATTTTACTTAAAATGAACAAAATTAAATGTAAAATGAACAAATTTTGTTTTTTGCTAAATGATTTTAAGATTAAAATTTTTTTATACAAGCAAACTGCTTATCTCTGCTACAACCGAAAATATAAACTTTGTTTCCAGCACCTACCATTTGTGAACAAATTTAGCCAAAAGTGAAGTGTGTGCAAATGTTACGCCATACCTGGGGTTAATTGTAATAAACTGAGGGAGTAGGTATAACAGTTGTTAGATCAATGCAAACACAATTAATTCAATACAATTCTATGTTAAACTACACAAGCTTTCCAACTTAAATTCATTAAAATATATATGCATCAACAGTCACTATCAAATTTATTTTGAAACATAAAGCAGAACAGCAAACAACACAATAAAATTGGAATATTTTTTAATGAAATGACAAGTATAGTATGTTTTTGATTAATCTGTGTAAAAATAACCGTTTGTATTCCTATAGGAGGGTACGGCCTTCCCTAATTGTTTTCTCTAGGAGCCTTAGTTGTAACTAACCCCGCTGTATGAAGGCTGGGCTTTAGTCTGGCTAGCTCTCATTGTAAGTTAGTTCCATTGTGCTATATTAGAGTGTGATTAAACAATACAAGAGTGAATTCTGTGACTTATAAACAAAACTCAGTAATCAAAAAACATTTATGATAAAAAAAATCTTTCATGATACAGAAACCTCAGGTTTGAAAAGTCTTTAGAGTGAATCTAAGAGTGAGTCCGATTGCCATCCAGAAATTTGCAGATGACATTGCAGTGGAAATACAAAAATGTTCTACTTGAATCTGTTGAACTGCATAATAAGTCTGTTATATTTTACCCACTGTTGTTCTCTGCCAGTTCCTGTCCACCTTATGCTCATGGCTGGACAAATTTCTCATTAACACTGGTCTTAATGTAGCTTTTCACCTCCTCACATAACAGCTAAAGTCCGGATTTGGGGGGAAGAAAAGCTGATCTCAGATTATCATAGCAGGACCTTATCAATATTATTAGACCTTCTTCTTTGTTTTTGCCTGTTTTTTTACCAGCCTCTCACTTGCCGGTGACAACCATGTTGAGTGATCTCCTCTAAGCCTTCCTGAGCACGAGACCCTCCCCTCAGTTCTCTGTGGCCCTTTGTTCTCCCTAAACCAACACTGCAGAGCCCAGCTGACCTTTTGACCTTTCAGCCCATTTTGAAGTGAAGCGATTGTGGTAACTGACGTTTTGTTTGGTTGCTTGGAGATGCTCATTTCTGTGACATCTGCGTCTGAAGCTTAGATGTGGTTTGTACTTTGATTGACTGTCTGTACACACCAGTCGGCTGCATGTGTTCAGTGAAGGCTCTGATCGGAAAAACAACTGTTCTTAATCCCGAGTTCATGCTGATTCCATGTCAGCTGTTTTAAATCCACTTCCAAATTTTCCAAAATCATTGTGGTGTTAAAACCATCTTAACACTTAATGTTCCAATTTATGCTCATTCACAGCATTGTCATGGATCCAGAATTTTGACTTCAGTGCCAATACCGAGTGTAATATCACAAAGCAAAATGATACTAATGATAATAATACCTGATTTTCAAATGTATATTTTACTTATGTAATTCAAATTATGCCAACTTTAGCAAGGAAATAAGTAACTGAAAAATGTAATGGCCTTATTCAGCATATTCTGAAGGGAGCAATAACAGTGAGTTGGCAACACACAATCTGGCCTCCACACTTTGTTTAAAACAGTAAATACAAAATTACTATGTTGACTGTTTCTAAGGAAAGAAGGCCACATACAGTGATCAAAAGACTGTCTGAATATAATTTATATCTTGTTTATTTATTACTTTCCAAAATCAATTTTACATTTATGGCATTTGCCAGACACCCTTATCCAGAGCAATTTACAGTTTGATCATTTTACACAGGTAGGCGAAGGTAGTGTTAGGAGTCTTGCCCAAGGACTCTTATTGGTATAGTGAAGGGTGCTTACCCAGGCCGAGGATTGAACCCCTGTCTACAGCTTAGAAGGCAGAGGTGTCACCCACTACACTGTACCAACCACTACCATGTATTCATTCATATCCATCAAAAAAGTTACAACAACTGGCAATAACAACCACATTTACTACCCAAAACTCAAAGGTATCCCAGTAATTAACTGAAAACTTAAGGAAGGCAAGTAAAAGTTCTGAAACATTAGTGGAACAAACATTAGTGTCTCTTCCCTTTATGTAGGTCAGAATTCAGTATTTCAATTAGATCATTATTTTGTTGCAAGCCTTCTAGGTATGGAGAGTGTAAGTTTGTGGAACTGATGTTCAGCCAGGCTTGTTCCATTGCTCGTTTTGAACACATTCTGGCTTTTTCATGATTTCAGTACATCTTTCACTCTTGATTTTGGAATTTTCAGTGTATCTGTAATTTTTCTCACAAACATTTTATTAACAAGAGACAATATATTTTTGTCAGTATTAAAGTTTTCCTAGTTTTCTTACTTTCTTTATATTCAGAATGTTAATTAAGTCTCTAGTGTGTTGATGATAGAAGTGTCCCAAAACTACTTTTTTCAATATATATACCTCTGTAGTCCAGCATCATGCCCATATTAGGAACTCCAGGCTCCAGCTCGTTTTGCCTATGAGAAAAATTAATGACATTAATGAATGATGTCATTTATTAATTAATGAAAACCGCTGCTGTTGTTTGCAGTAAACAACAATGTTCCATGTTTTATCCATACGTACACATATTATTTCCTCCAAATGTCAGTTTTTTTAGCAGTCAGAATACAAATACTACATCCACGCTACAAAAAAAGCAAATGACTGCACAAAAGTAAATCTGCTATTAAACATAACTTTTTTATATACCAAGCAATTGTTTCAGAGCACTCAGAGGTATTTGGAAGAAGACAAACAGTTTTGTTCACCACAGTAATGATTTTAGACAAGATTTATTTTTCTCATAGAGAAAATCAGTGTAGATTCCTAATATGGGCATGACGGTGACTACTGAAAGACAACATGCCTTCAGTGGTCTGTTACTGAATAAAATCCTTTACCTTTACCCTTTACCTTTAACCTTTACATATGCTGAACTTTTGATGTGCTGTTTGATTGGCCTGTAGGTAGAATACAACATCAACATAGCTTTAGCCTGTTTAAATAAAAAATGTAGAGTACAGAACTGTGGTTCTGTACACATTGTGGTATTGAAACCTTTGATACGTTGCACAACTTACTGAACATCATATACAGCTCTGTTTCCAAAAAAGTTGGAACACTATAAAATGTAAATAAAAACAGAATGCAATGTTTTGCCAATCATTTAAACCCTATATTAAATTGAAAAAACTACAAACACAGATATTTTATTGTTATTTGAAAGATGTTTGCCCATTTTGAATTTGATGCCAACAACATGTTTCAAAAAAGTTAGGAGAGGGCAATGAAAGACTGGTAAAGCTGTGTAATGCCAAAAAAACACCTGGTGGTTAAGTGGCAAAAGGTCAGTAACATTACTGGGTATAAAAAAAGCATCTCAGAGAGGCTGAGTCTTTCAGAAGTATAGATGAGGAGGGGTTCACCACTCTGTGAAAGACTGTACAGGCAAATAGTGCAACAATTCAAGAATAACGTTTCTCAACGTACAATAGCAAAGAACTAGAAGTTTTCTTCATCTACGGTACATAATATTATTAAAAGATTCAGAGAATATGGAGAATTCTCTGTATGCAAGGGACAAGGCCAAAAACCAGTGCTGGCCATGATCTTTGGGCTCTCACAGCATTAAAAACAGTCATGATTCTGTAGTGGAAATTATTGCATGGTCTCAGGAACACTTCTGAAAACCACTGTCTGTGAGCACAGTTTGTTGTGCATCCACAACAACAATGCAAATAAAACTCTACCATGCAAAGAAGAAACCTTATATAAACAGGATTTAGAAACGCTGCCACCTACTCTGGGCCAGAGCTCATTTAAGACGCACTGAGGTGAAGTAGAAAAGTGTCCTGTGGTCTTACAAATCAAAACTTTAAGTTCTTTTTGGAAGTCAATTAAATCTTGTTATCAGTGCACAGTTCAAAAGCCTGCATCCGTGATGGTATAGGGGTGCATTAATGCACATGGCATGGATGACTTGCACATCTGTCAAGGCACCATTAATGCTGAATGATATATACAGGTTTTGGCAACATATGCTGCCATCCAGATGATGTCTTTTTCAGGCATGGCCTTGCTTATTTCAGCAAGATAATGCCAAACCACATTCTGCATGTATTACAACAG